GTGCGACTGGGCCCCCTGTAATGGTGTCAGTGCGAGAGGAAGGTAGAGGAGGGGAGCGGAGTGGGAGAACCTCCTAATTCCAACAGCCTCTGCTCCGGACCCCAGGGAGCCACCCTCCTGCAAGGCAAAAAAAAAAAAGTTCCCCCATATGCCCTGCCCATCATGTTACATCACAATGCCCCGCCCATATGCTTTGCCATATGGGTCAATGCCAGTTCTGCACAAAATGTTTTTTTATCTGAAAAGACAGTGTGTTTACATTATAGCCTGTGCCTGTAGGCTTTTTAAACACCAAAACCACTACATTAAGCTGTAGTGCTTCTGGTGACTATAGTGTCCATTTAATGTGAGGTAAATTAGAGAGATTAGTACCATAGTGCCACTAATATATTGGATTGCCTACTTACCCTCCTCCCCTCTCCTTAGTGGTCCTTACTCTCTTTGCCCCCCCCCAGTGGTGCTTTCACTCTTCCCCCCATCAGTGGTCCTCCCTCTCCCAAAGCCCTTAGTGGACCTTACCCTTACCCTCCTTCACCACCCCCTTAGTGGTCCTTACCCTTTTCCCCCCTTAGTGGACCTTCCCCCCCCCTCCTCCCTCAGTGGTCCTTACCCTCTTCTTTGTTGCGTGGACAGGTGGCGCAGACCGCAGTACAGGAACTTCTGTTTCCTATACCCAGCCGCCGGCGGTCTGAAGGGAAGCGCTCACTAAATGAGCATTTCCTGTCAGTCCACCGGCAGCCAGATACAGGAAACAGAAGTTCCTGTCCCACGGACCGCCACCCGGGCTGGTGCGCCCTAGGCAACTGCCTAAGTTGCCTATAGGATGATCTGGCCCTGCCTGCACCTTAAAGGTGAGAAACAGGAGGGTGGCTTCAAATGTGTACATTTTGTATGCATGTGTGTCTGTGTGTGTATCTGTGTATCTGCACGTGTATCTGTTGGGCCGGTATGTGTATCTGTGTGTCTGTTTGTGTGTGCATGTGTGTCAGTATGTGTCCCTGTGTATCTGAATGAGTGTCATTCTGTGCATCTTAAGGTGTCATTCCGTGTGCCCCTGTATCTCTATGTGTGTCTGTTTATATGTATGTGTACTAGTGTGTGTCTCTGTATCTGCATTTGTGAATCTGTGCATCTGTCTATCTGGATGTGTGTCAGTGTGTGCCCCGTTATGTCTGTGTATCTATGTATGTCTTTGTGTGTCTGTGTATCTGCATGTCTGTACCTTTGTATGTGTGTATCTGTGTGTCAGTACTTGCATCTGTTTGTGTATCAATGTGTGTATCTGGATGTGTGGATGTATTGTTTTGTTATGCATTTAAACGTCAACACTACATACAGATACACCCCATGCATTCTAAGGCAAATACTACACACAAGAAAACTACATTTTTCAAATCGCTACAGTACATAAAAACACACAACACTACACACAAGCTCCTGCATTCACTCACTCATTCTCCATACAAAAGCATGCCTGCATTCAAACGCACAAACATTGCTCAATGCTAAATACAACCCTGCAAACAGGGCCGGACTGGCCCACCGGGATACCGGGAAATTTCCCGGTGGGCCGTCGGCACCTGGGGCCGGGCAGCCAGCTGGCTCCCCTGCGGCCGCAGAGGGAGCTCCTTTGGCGGCCGCAGGGTTTGCTGGCTGTTCTTGCAGCCGCAGGGGGAGCTGGCTGTTGTGTCTCTGCTCCCCCTCCCCTGCGCGCCGCTTAATGAGACCGGGGCCGGAGTATGACGTCATACTCCAGCCCCAGTCTCATTAAGCGGCGCGCAGGGGAGGGGGAGCAGAGACACAACAGCCAGCTCCCCCTGCGGCTGCAAGAACAGCCAGCAAACCCTGCAGCCGCCAAAGGAGCTCCCTCTGCGGCCGCCAGAAGAGCTCCCCACAATTGTGTATGTGTGTGTGTGTGTCTGTGTCATTTGTGTGTGAATGTCTGTCTGTGTCAGCAATGTGTGTCTGTGTCATTGTTTGTGTCTCTGTGTCATGGTGTGTGTGTCACTGTCTGTCATGGTGTGTGTGTGTCTGTCTGTGTCATTGTGTGTGTGTCACTGTCTGTCATGGTGTGTGCGTCTGTCTGTGTCATGCAATGTATGTCTATGTCATGGTGTGTGTGTGTCTGTCATGTAATGTGTGTGTCTGTGTCACGGTCTGTGTCTGTGTCACAGTCTCTCTGTGTCGTGGTGTGTGTGTCTGTGTGTCACGGTCTTTCTGTGTTATGGTGTGTGTGTCTTTTTTAAGGTGTGTGTCTGTCATGGTGTGTGTGTGTGTGTCGGTCTGTGTCATGGTGTGTCTGTGTGTTTCTGTCTGTGTCACGGTCTGTCTGTGTCATGGTGTGTGTCTGTCATGGTATGTGTGTATGTGTGTTTTTACTCTTTTTTCACTTTATGCTGGTCTCCCCTCACAGTGAGAAGCACGCAAGCGCCTCTAGTGGCTGTCAATGAGACAGCCACTAGAGGATTAGGGGGAAGGCTTAACCCATTCATAAACATAGCAGTTTCTCTGAAACTGCTATGTTTATGAAAAAATGGGTTAACCCTAGCTGGACCGGGCACCCAGACCACTTCATTAAGCTGAAGTGGTCTGGGTGCCTAGAGTGGTCCTTTAAGGGGTTAAATACATGTGGTTTGGCTTCAGTTGAAAATGTGGTGACCCTCTTTAAAATAGTCAAGTTCTTTATTCTTATACAACATATTTTGAAAATAGCCTTCTATTTTATGTTTAATAGTGTTGTTTTGTTACACCATGCTAAAAACATTTCCCTAATATTGATTTTATTATGATGCAAATTTGAGCAGAAGTATAAATATTGAATAACACATAGGCCAGGAAATATAGCTGTGATGTGCAAAAAAAAAGTTGTTGTGCTTCAAAAAAATGGGAAGTGGTTATAAGAACATCGCAAAAGCATTGCAAATGTACATTTCAACCAATTGGGCAATAAAAATTTTTTTTATGAATCAACCTGGATGGAAATGTGTCTCTATAGTGTCTCAATGCACTGTGAAAAGGATGGCTCAAGTGGCCAAAAAATCTGTAAGGAATAGAGTTGAGCAAACCCGGACTGTAGATTCGGGTTTGTACCGAACATTAAGTTTTTTTGGACCCTGGACCCGAACACGGACATATTAGTGTATGTTCGGGTTGGAGTTCGGTGTTTGGCAATTTAATGGCGCGTTTTGAAAGGCTGCAGGGCAGCTAATCAACAAGCTTTTGACTTGTGTGCCCTTAGAAGCCATCACAGCCATGCCTACTAATGGAATGGCTGTGATTGGCCAGTGCAGCATGTGACCCAGGCTCTACATGAGCTCTTATTAGTGTAGGGAGAGGATGCTGCAGCTGTGATGGACAGATTAGGAAAGAATTTTGGTGTTGAATCTGCAAACTACAGCGATTATTTTTGTGGGTGCTATACTACATTTTTGTACCCTGCCCTGAGCAGAGGTGCCACACAGAGTGCAGTGCACTTGCAACTGCATGCGTGCCAGGCACATTACTTTAATCCTGTTCTGGTAGCTCAGTGGGCAACATCTAGGCATTTTTAAATACAGCATTTTTTTTGGTGCTAGATAGTACATTTGCGTACTGCATTTCTTGCAGTCCAATAAAACCCTTAAATACTACTGTTACATTGTTGGTTTAAAAAAATTAAATAAAATAAAAAAATAACACCTTTTGGTGCCAAATAGTACATTTGCGGCCTGCGGTGCACTTCATATCTGAGAGTCAAATAGAACCGTCAAATACTGTGCTTACGTTGCAGTTTTAAACATTAAAATTCTTTAGGTGCTAAAAAGTCAATTTGGTGCCTGCAGTTCATATCTGAGAGTCAAATAGAGCCGTCAAATACTGTGCTTACAGTGCAGTTTGAAACATTCAAAATTATTTTGCTGCTAAATAGTACATTTGCAGCCTGCAGTGCACTTCATATCTGAGAGTCAAATAGAGCCGTCAAATACTGTGGTTACAATGCATTTGTAAACAAATTGTTTTGGTGCTAAATAGTACATTTGGTGTGTGCACTTCATATCGGAGAGTCAAATAGAACCGTCAAATACTGCTGTGAAATAGCAGTTTTAAACATTCAAGTTTTTTTGCTGCTAAATAGTACATTTGCGGCCTGCGGTGCACTTCATATCGGAGAGTCAAATAAAACCGTCAAATACTGTGCTTACAGCGCATTTTTAAACATTCAAATTCTTTAGGTGCTAAAAAGTCAATTTGGTGCCTGCACTTCATATCTGGTGTATGTGTGCAACACATACACCAGATATGAAGTTATCTTCTCAAGAAAGTCTAAAGACTTTAAAAAAGTGAAAAATAAGTGTTATTGTGATCGCTTCATATACAGAAGCATTAATATACATTTCTATATTGTGTAAAGACACAACTACAAAGTTAAAAACCAAACACCAAAAACAACATGGAATGAAGGTCATGCGAGTGATGTGTGCAGTTTGGAGGAAGAGGCGCTGGTCGCACAGAGGCACCAGCACAGTATAAGAGGGAGCAGGGTGCAAAAGCGGAGCAGCTGTCCCCTAGCGCTCGTTGGCATGTATTATGTTTAGAATTCCCACAGTTATCCAAGTATCAGATGGAGCGATAAAAGGAAGCATAACAGATTTAACGAGCCATTCGCAGTTTCGCAGTCTGGTGACCGGGACCCAGACACTGTCTGGGCGGCGATCGAACGACCGGGACCCAGTATGCCTGATGTAGACGTTAGGAGTCACAGTGTGGAATGGATTAGCAGGGTCTGGTGCAGGGTAACCACATGCCCCCTGGTGTTGAGCACCAGCGTTTGTGCGGCCACATACCAGGACCCTGATGCAGCTTCAGCAAGCAGCAGCAGGCGATAGTGGAGTTTCAGCTGCAGAACGCACAGGTCAGTCGCTCTGCACCAGACTTGCCCTCCAATTGATCCAAGTTAAAGGATTTAAAGTGGACTCATTACAATTACAGGGCCTGGAAAGAGTAGTGTATTGTTATTTTTTCATCACTATCTCCCCGTGTCGGGAGTGGGTAATTTGCGCGCCTGCTGCCTTCCTTGCATGTGGTAGCCGTTTCTCAGGCTCCCTCTCTGGAATGGAACCCTGATTCCCCGTTACCCGTGGTCACCATGGTAGGCGCGGAAAATTGCATCGAAAGTTGATAGGGCAGATATCTGAATGCGTTGTCGGTGTCACGTCACGGGGACGTGCGATCAGCACGAGGTTATCACAGACAAGCGCAGCCGCCTGTCCATGGCCAACGTGGACAAGCTCATGTTTATTAAAATGAACCAGTCATGGATCCCACCAGACTTGTCTGTACCTTGTGCAGAATAGACATTTATACCGGCCTCACCCAGCCATGGTTATATTCAAGTGCACTTATTCTTTGTTTTCTTTTTTTACATGTCCCAATATTTTGGGGGCTACCCCAATAAAAAATAAAAACTAATAAACAGTGTTGGCTACCTCCTCCTCCACCGCCGCCACTTCCACCTACACGGTGTATACCCAAATATATCAGAGCTGCTGCAGAAAGTGTGGGCTGTTTGTGCGCGCTTTTGCCATTCTCACCCTGCTGCTGCTTGCCTGTCTGCGCTGCAGCGTAACTTCGGCCTTCCCACTCACCGCCTCATATGCGACGTGCCCACAAGGTGGAACTCCACCTTGCACATGCTGGAGAGACTGTGCGAGCAGCAGCAGGCGATAGCGGAGTTTCAGCTGCAGCATTCATGGGTCAGTTGCTCTGTGGAATAGCACCACTTCACCACCAGTGTGTGGGCCTCCATGCGAGACCTGTGTGCCATGTTGTGCTGTTTCGAGGACTATCCCGCTTCTATGTCTCCTTGAAAAAACACTTTGAACGATGATGGAAGAGGATGTGGCACAGGAGCAAGAGGGGTAATTTCCACAGTTATCAGGCCAGTCATTCACAAGTGGCTCGGAAGGTGGGTTCCTGCAGCAGCATAGGCCAGGTACACAATTGTCCAGCATCTCCACACTGTCCCATGGAAGCGTTCAGCTGTCCATCTCCCAAACACTGGAGAGAAAGAGGAAGTACCCCCCTACCCACTCACGATCCCTGGCCCTGAATGCCAGCATTTCAAAATTCCTGGCCTTTGAAATGCTGTCATTCTGTCTGGTGGAGACTGACAGTTTTAAAAACCGGATGGCGTTATTGGACTGCAAGAAATGCACCGCAGGCCGCAAATGTTTCTTTTTTTATATGTCCCGATATTTTGGGGGCTACCCCAATTAAAAAACAAACAAAAAAACAACAGTGTTGGCTACCTCCTCCTCCACCGCCGCTTCCACCTACACCGCCACAGTCACCGCCTCCTCAACCTATGGGGCACTTGTGTCTGTCAGGGTGTGTGTCTGTTTCTGTCAGAAAGTGTGTCTATGTCCATCCGTCAGTGAATGCGTTTTTACGTTACCAGCCACTTTCAATCACATGGGAAAGATATTTTTACTCACTTTTTTCCCCCACCCCATGGCAGTCTCGCCGTGGCTTGCCCCACCTCCATGGTTGAGATACTCAATCTTGATGATTGCAGCCAAGTCAATGCTTTCCCATAGGAAAGCATCGGGAGGCTATTGCACATGCGCAAAATAATGCTGCGCTGCACCAGTCACAATCTCCTCATAGAAATGCATTGAATCAATCAGGGTAAGATTCAGCAAAGGACACTATATTTCCTCCAGGTATTAACTTTGCCACAAAGAAAATAAAAATAAAAATTCAAAGACCCTACCATTTACAATTCTGCTTTTATTCACTGGGGAGTATGTCACATTTTTTTTTTAGATCACTACAACTTTAACAACACTTAGCTTTTTTGCCATGCACACTATGAAATGGAAAGGTCTTTATTCCCCCCCCTTTTTTTCATATTAAAAACAATCACAATTTTAAATTTATTAATTTCTGCACATTCAGTAGAGCACCACCATGCAGAATCCTCTTCAAATGAACTTGACAAATATTTATTCAAGGCCACAATATTGAAGGCTGGAAACTATTAAAAACCTTACTGGTCACATCGGCTATAGACAGATCTGTTACAAATTTGCTATAACACAAAGTGATGAGCATGTTTTAGCCCCAGGTTTTGTAATATTACATATTGTAAACACTTAGACAGTTGGCAGAATTGCAAATAAATAATTCTCAGTGTACTGACCATGTTAGAGAGTCTAGGTTTTTACATTTTAACTGCCAGCTTTACTTACTTATTAATCAAATTTTAAGAGCATGGCATCAGAAATGTGCAGAACTATCAAAGTAATTGTTTACTTTGTTCGATACAAATTGCTAAATGTGCTATTGTCACGGCTGCTAGTGTGGTCCAACACGCAGAAAACTATGTAAAGATATACATAAAAAAGTAAAGGAAATAAAAGGACAGAGCGTAAACCGGACCTTAGAATGGCCGGACTAATATGCTAGAGATAGAGAATGGTCAAAGGGAAAGCAGAGATCAAGGAAGCCAGAAATACTCAGATACTGTTTAAACAAGCCAAGTCAGGGGAACCAGAATTCGGAATTACCAGGGAAAAGCCAAGATCAGGATACCAGGAAGTAATATTCACAAAGATAAACGCACTCTAGGGAACCAGGAACAGGAAATCACGACAGGGCAAGGAACTGGAGTGAATTAGGGATTTAAATATCCCTCTCTGGGCTCTGATTGGTGAGAGGGTGACCTCTGACCCCAGAACGTGCGCATGCTTTGACGTTGTGACGTCACGCGCATGTCTGTATAAATTTGAGGGGCAGAGCTTGTGTGCGCGACCACGTGGTCAGCGCCAACTTTGATTTGGGCCCAACGCCCAATAGACACAGAAGCGGTTCCCGGCGAGCAAATAAGCTTGCAATATCGGCGAAGTTGTGCCGGTCGGGTGCGGCTGCGCCATGGGGCGGGCCGGAAGCCACAACAGCTATGGTAATACATCTCCAGATTTCCTATTTTCTAGACTGCAATGTCTATTTACGAAGGTATATTTAAAAAAAAAAAAAGATTGAGGACTTAAAATGTAACAGCAATTTTGTTTTATTTAGTTATAATATACTTAAAAATGTACAGTTACTTTTAGAGAATTGCGAGCTTCTTGTCCCTTAATTCCAGTAAATTCTATTGCACTTGAGTGAATAGCAAAAAAAAGAATTTAAAAATATATATGCATGCAAAATAAATATAAATATATATTCATGCAATATCCATCTATCCATATAATAATCTGTATTAAATTAGTTTATTTCATGCAATACATTTATACTTGGGTGCTGCCAAAATTTTTATTTGGTCCAAACACATTTGGATGGGGAAAAAAAAATTCATTGTCTCATCTGAACCAATTCCGTCTGTTTGTTCATTAGTTTTGAACAAAATTTGGTCGTTATTTTTGTTCTGCAATTTCATACGGACAAGCAGCTGCTCGCGGTTATTAAAAAAAAAAAAAAAAAAAAAAGACTAGCGACTCGGCAGCTATTGTTGTCCAGTTGCTAATTCCATGGAGCTATTTTCTGAACAGATTTCTAACGAACAGTCGGTGAAAGACACTTTAGCTCCATTGCGATTTGACTGTGTTCGTGGGATCTGAGTGCTGTTCGGCTATATTGAGCGTTTAGCCCAAGCTATCTGGGGATATGTCGAATGCAGGGGTTCCATTGGGGGATTGGGAGCTATAATTCACTACACCTTCTATTCTACTGGGATTTCGGGAGACGCTGTATGGATTTACGCAGCTGGAATATAGAGGATCCGTTACACCGCACACTACATTACCTTTTGGCAGTACATTACCACCCACTGCCGAAAGGTTGGGGCTTAGGTGGACAAAAGGTCCACTCCTTTATTATTTAAGGCCCCCATCTTTGAACAATAGGTGAGGGCTGAGAGTGACACTGTGCCCCTCCCATTGTTTTTTTTTTTTTCAGAGCCCCCACCTGCCACCAGTGGATGGGGGGCTGGTGGGATACTATTCATGGCCATAGGTGAGAACTAGAGGGGGCTTCTAGGTCCACAATTTATTTTGATTGACCCCACTCTCAGGGCATGGAGAGGACACTATGTCCTCCTGTCCATTTTATTTTAGTACGTGTCCTATGTCCTCTTTTTTGGACTAGAGACTCGGCAACAATAGCTGCCCAGTCGCTAGTCTTTTCTTATTACAGTGAGCAGCCACTGGCCAGAGAAAGGAGGATTTAGCATCTCTTATACTAATATGGGGTGCTTCTATTTTAAATATTACAAGGAGGGAGCCGCCTCCTCTTGTAACATAAAACCAATAAACAAAAGAATGAATGAAAGGCAGGATGAAATTTTGTCCAACAATCAATTTGGTCTTTGTTTCATTCTTTTTAATTTAAAGTCTAATAAATATGTCCAAGACTAATAAATATGCTTATCGATAGCTGTATGAATGCACCATGGCCAGTTTTAATATATGTATATTATAGCATAGCAAAATCAATAACACAGCATATACACATTTGCAAAATATCTGAAATGCCTATTTGAACACCTTAAAAGATTATGACCACTTCAATGATCTGAGTGCATGGTGCTTGGAGTCAGTACGAGCAGTATTTCCATAAGAAAATCTGCACAAACAGTGATGAAGCACTTTGCTGTTGAGAATGTAGCTCAACCACTAACAACCACTTACGCAGCCTGGAATGAAAGTTCCGAGCTGCTAGTGTGAATTATATGCATAAAAGCATCCATCTTGAGCATGCAAAATATGCTGATAACAAACCACAATCCCCTGGTGCCACTAGCTATTTTACTCTACTTTGATTTTCATATTGTATACTATTTGAAGGATTTATAATAAATATACTATTTGGATTTATATTTTCAAGCAGTTAATTTTTAACAAGTGCACTCTTCATATTCTATATGTTATTTAGCAATCAGTTCCAAATACTGACTTGCTTTGTTCTATAAGAGAGAATACCACATCTTTTAGATTTGTTATAAAAGTATACTATCTAGCCCTGTGTTGTTTTCACAAGCAGGGTAGGGATACTTATGCCATGTATCCTTGGACTTTTATAGTTTTAATCTGACTTGATAATTAATATTTGAAAATTTTCCATTACTTGTATTTGCATTTTATCTTTCATACACAAGGTTTTTAGCTCATGGATACTGACACTACAGACAACAGTGTTTTCCCCCTACACACACACACTAACACACACACACTGACCCAAGAAGACACACACACACACACACACACTGACCTAAGCAAGCACACACAACATACTGACTGAAACAGACTGACACAAACACAAACACACACCATAAAGTCCCCCACTTACCTTAATTTCAAATAGTTTATCTGTGGGTCCCAGGCCAGGCCTGGCTGCTTGACTATCTTTTA